CACTTCGATCCTTACCTTGCTATGTCACCTTGGGAAAGTTGCTTTCCATCTCTAGATCTCCGGTGATCTCTAAGGCCCCTTCCATCTCTGACACTGGAGAAGCCTGATGATTCAAGGACGAGAGCATTATGCTGTCTGGGTATGGAACATTTATAGACCCATCCACCCATATCTACAAAATGCTTTTACCTGAAATGTTGTGCAAATGCATGTAAACACACATATGTCTGCATATACAATAAATGCTTAATGTTGCCTGCCTAGACATTCACTCTTTTCTTCTGTTGGGAGATCCTCTATCTCTATGTCTCTACCAATGCTTTCTGTCTTTGGCCATAGAGTACAAGGGCTCCACCTATCACATCTGGCTTGGCACTATAGCCACCAATTAACAAATGTCTTTGAAAAAAAAACCATGAAGTTCTGTCCCTCTTCCTTTTATTTACCCAGCCTTCCTGGGGGTGGGGAGAGAAAGAGACAAACAGAGAAGATATGACTGACCTCCATGTATACCCAAGGCCAAACAAAAAGAAAATCTGAGGAAAGAGGCAATAGCTTAATATCTCTATAACACTTTAAGGTTTGCAAGGTGTATATGAGGTGTTCAGGGAGGACTGGCATCTCTGGTGTGACGGCTCCTCATCCACTGTTAGTGTCCACTCTCACCCAACTGTCACCTGTGGCTCCAAGAAGTTGTAGCATGTGCAGCAGCAACCACACGCTGGTAAAACCTTCTTGGCAGACAGGTTAAACCAAGTTGAGGGTAACTGTCAGGCCTCAAACCCATCGGTGAGTTAGGAGGCTGTCTATCCAAGGGTGTGAAGACCTCCCCTGGTGGAATGAGCGGATGAAAATAATTTGTTCCAACGGCCATGAAGGCAGCTAAAACAGGCGCTATGGACTGCTTAGAGCTTGGTCAGATAATCAGACACCAAGATCATCCACTCCACCCCAGGCCATTGTCAGTCATCCTGACTTTGGCTTGCCACTGGGCTTCAATGACTCAGGAAGAGATTGAGGCTGATGACTTTGTGCAACTCTGCCTCACTTAAATCCAATTTACATGCAAGTCAAGATATCACCCCATGATATCATTGGTCCTCTTCAAGAAAAAAGGACAAACAACAAGGTTTGCAAAGTGCTTTATGGACATTATTTCCTCTGATCCTCACAATAGACCCACAAGAGAAGTACTATTATAAATGCCATGTTACAGATGAGGCTTCAGTAAGTACTTAATAAATGTTTGTTGACTGACTGACTTGTACAGGATCATAGCACTAGCTAGTAACAATCTGAGCAGAATTCAAACCCAGGATTTCCTGACTTCAAGTCCACTCTATCCACTATGACACATCGCCTCTCCATTGGAAGAATTAGAAGAGAAGCCAATAATACCAGATCCAATTTAACTAGTAGTTGATAAATCACAAAGCAATTTCTTTTCAACATTCCCACAGAGGCATCATGCAATGGAAAGAGCATTGGCCCCAGAGTTAGAGGATCATCAAAAGCTGTCTTTGGCACAGGAGCTATGTGACCTGAGGCCAGTCACTTCCCCTCTCTGGGCTTCAGTTTCCTCTGGATTCCTTCCAGCTGTAGTTCAAGGATCTTAGGATCTTATAGGGTGAGATGGGTGGGGGTTGTCATTCTCATAATTTTACAGATGGGGCACTAAGGCTCAGAGAAGGGAAGATAAGTGCCTTCCTTTCCTTACCCAGGACCACAGAACTAGTCAGTGACATCATCATCTTCATAACTAGCATTTATAGAGTGCTTTAATGTTGGCAAAATGCTTTACCAAAATTATCTAATTGGAACGTCACAACAACCCTGGGAGGGAGGTGCTACTATTATCCCGATTTTACAGATGAGGAAACTAAGGCAGACAGAGATGAAGTGACTTGGCCAGGGTCACACAGCTAGGCTGAGGATGGCTTTGAACTCAGGTCTTCTTGCCTAAGGTGACTTGAATGCAGGATTTTGGACACAGAAATCTAGGGCCCTTTCCATTTCACAACTCACTCCTTGCTACCATCTCAGAGACATCTAGTGTTAGAGAGGAATCAAAAAGGAAAGCCCACAGCCACAAGGGAAATGAAGGCTTCCCAATCTGTGAAATGATGGGGCTGGACTAGACAATCTCTAAGATCCCTTCTCTCTCAGATAGCATTGTGTGGGTCTGAGGGCTAGAGAAAAGCAGGGTTGAGAAGGCACAGAATGCGGAGAAAGTATGAAAAGTCACCAAATGTCCAGTCTCAGCATGTGGGCCAGAGTAAAGGCTCCCCACTACAGAGTCGTCCTAAGAGAACTCAGCTGGGTCATATACATTCAAAGAAATTCAGAGTGCCTAAGGGCAAGGCACCACACTAGGTCCCAAGAACCCAAAGACTAAAAGAAAACAGCTTCTCCTTCAAGGGCTTTCCATTATTCTAGGGCAAGCCAGGTCCTTTGACCAAATCACTTGTGGACCTAGAGGGCCACATGTGGCCTGGAGGCTGCAGGTTCCCCATCCCAGTTCTAGGGCCTTTCATCCTACTGGACAGGAGGAGGGAAGGGAGCTAGCTGTTCGACATAGACAAATAAATAGGAATGTGATTTGACAACTGACGGGTAGGGATACAAAGAAGTGCTCTATGCTAGAGGTGGTATGAGAACTGAGCTTGGAAGGAAGCTCAAAATTCTAAGAGGAGAAGGGGAGGAAGCAACACATTCTGAGCATGCCATGCATTCTGGGAGCAGACGACAACCTGTAGAGGGCATGGCTGGGGGTTGGGGGTGGGGAGGGTTTGGGATGCAGATTTCCAGCATCTCTGCATAAAGGAGAGTAATATAAAATAAATCTGAGAAGATAGGCTCAGGTCACACTGTGAAAGGCTTAAGGTGCCAGGCTGAGGAATCTGAATTTTATTCCAGAAGCAACATGAAACCAATGAAGGTTTTTGATGGGGGGGGGGGTGTGACCTGATCACACTTGTGTCTTAGGAAGGTGATGTTAGCAGCTATAGGAAAGGTGTGTTGGGAAGGGGACAGATTTGTGGCAGAAAGACCAGTTAAGAGGCTATTGCAGTAGGTTGGGTGAGAGGTAATGAGAGCCAACCCTAGAAGAACTGAAATGTAAGTGGAGGATTACAGGTGATAGAAGTAGAGTCACAAGAAAGATTTTGCAACTGAGAAGACATTGAGTGTGAGGGCAGAGTCCCAGATGACTCCAAGGTTATGAACCTGGGTGTCTAGCAGCATGGTTACGTCCTCAACAGAAACAGAGAAATCTGAAGGAGGGGGGAGGTGGGGAGGGGGTAACAAGATAATGAGTTATGTTTTAAATATGGTGAATTTGAGGTGCCTGTGGGGTTTTTTGGTAATGCAGAGCTGGAGTTCAGGGAAGAAATGGACATAGGGATGTGGAAGTTATCTGCATAGAAATAATTGAACCCATGGGAGCTAATGAAAACATCAAGTGAGGGGGCATAGGGAAAGATGAGAAGAAAGCCTATGACAGTGCTTTGACAAAGTCCTCCAATTATTGGATGGAAGATAGATAGATAATGGTACGGCAAAGGAGACTGAGAAAGAAGTTAGAAGTGTAGGGGGAAAACCAGGAGAGAGCAGTAATGTAAGCCAAGGAAAGACAAAGTATTGGGGAAGGGAGTGATCTACAGTGTTTGAAAGCTACAGAGAGGTCAAGAAGGAAAAGGACTGAGAAATGGCCATTGGATTTACCAGTTAAGATATAGTTGGTAATCATGGAGAGAGCAGTTTCAATTGAGTTGTGGGTCCAGGAGCCAGATTGCTGGTGGATGAGAAATGAGTAATAGAAGGTAAGAATGGAAAAGAGTGTAGATGAATATTACTAAGCGTAAGCAGTTATAGGATAAGAGGAACAGGGATTCACAGAATCTGGGAATAGGAAGGGCCTTCAGTGGCCATTTAGTAAAACCCATTAGTATATATTTGGGCTAGCCAACGATAGGGTCAAGGGTTGGGGCTTTGAACAGAAGGAAATGAGGCTGGAGCAAAGGTGATGTCCTGGAAGAAGGAATAAATAGAGCAGATGGTTCAATGTATACAAAGAATAGGTTTAGGAATAGGAGAAGTAAGGCAGAGGGAGAAATAGGAAGTATGTTCACTGAGCAGAATTTCAGAATTCAGAATAATGGAGGTAATCGAGCTGTGAGGGGGGTGATGGGGAGATCTAAGGTTATAAAGTCCATCCCTGCAAATGGCTGAAATGGAGTGAGAATGTAGGTCATGAGCTCTGGGCATGTTAAGGAAATGGAAAGCCAGAGTGTTTGAGAGGAAACTAACACAAATATTGACATTCCTGAAGAGGAGTGCAGGGGGTCGAGGTGAGGAGGAAAACTAAGCCAGGTATTGAATACTTTGAGAAAGGTGGAAGAGTGAACTGCAGTTCCAAGTACAGGCTGTAGAATGACAGTGGTAGAAGTGGGGGTGGCAGTGAGTAACAAAAAGTATGTTTCTACCTACTGGTCCTTTGTGTGGTGGCAGCCAGGTCTCCCTGAGCACAAGATGGAAAGAAATGTGAGAGGAAAAGACCCAGGGTGAAGCAGACTGTATTAGGGATTGACAGAACCCGAGGAAGCACAATGAAAGAGATGGGTATTGAAGGACAAAACGTGTGAAATTGGAATGGGGAGCTTCAGTCTCCACATCCAGTACAAATAAACTAGCTGTGTGACTCTGGGTAAGTCCCTTGCCCTCACTGGGCTCCAGTTCCCTCCACAGTCTCTGAGGTCCCTCCCAGCTGTGATGCTCTGGGTTTCCGACACGTGGAGTGGGGGGGAAAGGGAAGTACTAGAGGCTGCCCCCGCCTCCCCGTAGATACACGTGGTAAAGGAGGGAGGGGCAGTGCAGAACAGCCTCCCCTCAGCTCCCTCGGCGCGAGAAAGGGGAGGGGAAAGAGGGGTGTGGCAAGGCCCGGAAGCCCCTCCCACCTGGCCCCTAAGGTCCCGAATCCCTCCCTCAGTCCCCAGACTGACCTCCAGCGCTCCGGCCTTCGAACAGATAGCCTTTGTATATCTGCGGCAACAAGGGCAGGCCCGACGGCTGGTGGGCAGCCTGCGGCTCCGACTTTCTGACCCCGCCGGCGGCCGCCCGAAGCCCCGGGCTCGGCTCGAGCCACTCTAGGCTCTGGTTCTCGGCCCCGGCCTCGGCCGTTACTGCCGCCTCTTCGGGCCCGCTAGCCGCTTCCGCGTCTGCCATTGGCCGCTGGTCACTAGGGAAGCCGAGGCTCCTCGCCGCTGCCCCCTGGGAAGTGTAGTTCTCCGGGGCGCGAGAGGCAGAACTTTCGGAGTACATCCTGGGGATTGGTGGAGAGGCCTCTACTAAGCAGGGAGGATTTCGGGAGATGAAGTCTTCACAGCGCTCGGAATCCTTGTCCCTGCTTCACTTCGCTACGGAGAGACCAAAGGGTCAGAAAGTATTCTGGGTATTGTAGTTTTCGCTCTCATTTCCTAGTAAACAGAGACTGTCTGGTTGCTTGAGAAGAGCGGGAATAAAAATTCACATTTCTATGAGGCGTAACTATTTACAAAGTGTTCTCCTCACTATAACACTTGAGGTGACTTGACGAATAAGGTCACACAGGCTTTTTTTTTTCTTTTCAGCATGTGTGTGAATCCCAGTTCTGCCATCTACTGCCTTCGTGACCTTGGGCAAGTCACTTCCCTTCTCAGCCTCAGTTTCCTCAAATGTCAAATAAGGGGTGGGGTTGATCTACCTCCACTATGTCTCTTGCATCGGACTTCCCTACACTCACAGTCACCATCTTAGTTCAGGTCCTCATCCCCTTTAGCATTTGCCACAGCTTCCTAAATAGTGTCCCTGTCTCAAGTGTCTCCGCACTCCGGTACATTCTAATCCGATCCAAAGTAATCTTCCTTAAAGGGAAATCTGACCAAGTGACTCTCCTCAATCAACTCCGTGGCTATCAGTTGCCTCCAGGATAAAATAGAAACTCTTCTGTTGAGCTATCAAAGCCCCACACAACCTGACTTCAGCTTACCTTTGCATTCTCATTGGACATTCCTCCCTCTCCCGGGCACTCTACAATCCACCCAAACTGGCTTCTCTGTTCCTCACACAGGACACTCCACCTCAGTTTGTGCCTTTGCACTGGCCGGCCCGATGCCTGGAATGCACTCCCTCTTTCTCCCCACCCTCTGTTCCTTTAAGACGGAGCTCAAGCACCACCTTCTGCCTGACGAAGAACAGATGACCTTTTTTCATCCCCCCCAACAGCAAGTGCCCTCCCTGCCCAACCACCTTGTGTTTAACCGCTTCCTTTCCTCCCAACTTCAAGTCGTCTGAAAAAACTTCCCAGCCCTGCCATTTCTTCCTGCCTTCACTCCACCTGTTCTGCATATTAGAATGCCGTTTCTCCTCGCTTCCCTTTCTTCCTCCTCCAGCAATTTATTCCTAATCTTGTTATATGTTGTAGTGGAAATCATACAGCCTTGGGAATCCCTCCACGATGTTTTCCCCCTCCCCTGCCCTCCCCCCTTTTGGCATATTACTCTCCTGCACTCTACCTGCCAGCCAGAATGGCCTTCAAAATGTCCATAAAACACCTTCCATTTCTCAACTATGCCTTTGCCCAGGCCAGGACTGCCCTCTCTATTCATCTCTGCCTAATAGATTCCCTTGCTCCCTCCTACAAAAAAACCTACCTGATGCCCACCAGTTGCTACTCCTCCCCCGCCGCTCACCTCCCCAATTACTTTGCAAAGGCACTGAGTGAAACAATGTAAACAATGTGAGATCTCTCAGATGAACTGAATGCAGCAATTTCGCAGACTGTTACAAACTCAAGGTTGGTTCAACCCCTTCATTTTACAGATGAGGAAACTGAGCCACAGAGACATGAAGAGTTGTCCAAATTCACACAGGTAGTAAGTGGTTCAGTACATACTCAATAAATTTTGTTAAACGAATAAATGTCACATCTGGGATTTGAACCCAGGTCTTCTAACTCCTAAGACCATTAATTTTTCCAGAGTCACAATCACATTTTGCTTACCTCAGTTTGCACCTCTCTAGAACAAATAAACATAAGTCTAGCAGGATAAGCCATGGACAGATGAGGAAACTGAAGCCAGCAGGAGGAGGAGCTTAACCCTGTGATTCTACTTTGTTGGCTAAAAGCAAGATCAGGATTCAAATCCAGATCCTTGGCCCCATGTTCAGAGCTCTAGCCCTGATATCACACTGCTCCTCAGAGCCTCAACTTTCCCTTATGTCATCTGTGGTCTTTTGGTCTCCTACTGGCATCAACAACAGACTGTGGTCCCAGCATATTGGGTGGCCCCCTTGGAGTAAGCTTATGGCAGGACATGGATGCTCATGGCATCACACATTTAGAGCTAGAAGGGACCTCTGAAGACTTTAATACAACTTTCACTGTATACACGACAGAGCTTGGGCCCATTGGCAAGTGGCCAAGATCACCCACATGGCATAGTCAATAGCTGAGCTGAGACCCAAGTCCTCTGCCTGGAAGCTCATTTCCCTTTTTGGAGTCACACCAAGGGGCAGGAGTGAGAAGGAAATGTCCACATTGAGGAGATCACACAGGCATTGACACATGGTAGATGTAAACAAAATAACCTGCTTGGGGAGGGGGGAGGAGCCAAGGTGTGCTTTAAAGGAAAGAAGGCCATTCACCTGCCAACTTCATAATGCATTTGTTCATGAAATGGCCACCCTGTACCAGGCCCTAAACTGGGTTCTGGTCAGGACAGAGAGAGAAGTATAAGCAAACTCTTTTCTAAGTTTCTGGTGCAAACTCAGAAAGTCCCCAGGAACAACATTCCCCAAGGTCAATTTGGTTAATAGGCATGACTGTGGAAGCCTGGGAACTCACCCGAAGCAGCTGGTTAGTTTCCAAATTCAAGGAGAAGACCATAGGATTGGAGAGCAATGAGAAGATACCGCCCCTCAATCCTTTCCTTTGCTGATTTGGGTTGGGGGGAAGGGAGACAGGGTAGGTTCAGGGCATGGAACTTGAAATGTATTGTTAGAGTTTTTCAGAGTATTGATCAGTTTTGCTGATTTGTTTCCTCTTTCTTTTAAAAAAAAGTATTTGTTATAAAGAATAGCTCTATGCAGAATTGAAATTTTACAAGGGGAAGTTTAGGAAATGTAAAATTCTATCAAAAATTTAATTGAAAAAAAATCATATTGCAGTGTTAAAAATTAGCCAGAATAGATTAAAAATAAAGTGAGCCCTTTTGCTCTTCTTTCTCTCCCTCCTCTTTTTGCTTTGCCCTTCTCTCTCTATGCTCTCTTAGCCATCCCTGATGTACCCCCAGCTTCAACTCTCTCTCTTTGCTGATGACCCCCCCCAGATATGGATCACTTTCTCATAGCCACCTTTTCCTTCTCCCTCCCCCAAACCACCTTCTTTCTTCCCTATTTCTGCTAATGAACCTGGAACCTGAAAAGTTCTGAGTTATATCAAGCTCCTCCCTCCAGTGTGGTTCTTGACCTGGGGTCCACAGAGAGATTTCAGGGAGTACAGATAGGAGAAAATATTAGATCTTTCTTTTTACTAACCTCTAATTAAAACTTAGCATTTCCTTCAAATATTTAAAAGCAGTTCTTTAAAATAATTTTAAAAATATTTTTAATTATTTAAAAACTCTGAGAAGGGGGCCACCAAGGACAGGCATCACCAGACCAACTGCCAAAGGGTTCCATGACATGGACGAAGTTGAGAACTCTTGCCCCGAAGTACGTTCCTGAGGGTTAGGGGGAATTTATGGTCAGTGGTCAGGCCTCAATGGACCACTCTTGGTCAGGATTTTGTCTGGGACCAGGCTGTACCGACCTAGGTTAGAGTCCAGTGGTGGACAGGGGTTAGGGGTTTAATGTGACTGAGAGTGCTGGCAATGGGGTCGGAAGGGGCCCTTCCCCAGTGAGAAGAAAGGGAGCACAGAGACAAAAACAGCCAGAGTGACTGATGAATCCATATGTGGGATCACGGAGCAACGAAAGAATCTGAGCAGTCCCTGGGTCCATTCTTATCCAGAATGATTGCTGTCTTCAAAGGTGACTGAGGTCTGTTTATCCAAAGTTGATTCCAACCTTCTTTGTCCTCTTGAGTATATAGCTATGTATCTCTGTGAGCATACTTGAGCTCAAGCTAGCTCCAGCACGCGCGCCCGCGCGCACACACACTCACACACACACACATACATACACACAGTCCTCCCCCCCAAAAAAAACTGCTTGCAAGCTTTTAAAGCCTGTTTTGGGTTTAATCTACCCAAATTTATGCTCACAAGCCCCTATTCCTCTCCAAATTTCTTTCTCAAAAGAACAAGCCATTTTGCTGTCAATTATTGCCAATTATGTGACATCACTTGGTAGTGGTGAAAATGGGATAATTTGCCAAGAATAGAAAAGTGGGGTATGATCAAGAAAATGCATTAACAGCAAACACTCTCAATGCACGTGGCCCAAACCAAACCACTACCCCCCCAAAAAAAAAAAAACCCTACTTCTGGGGATGGAAAATGTGGGAGCGGCCCCTTGGCCCCGAGAGCAGGACATGGTAGATTACTAATTTGCCCCTTGGATTACAAGAACCAGTCCTGCATTTTAATGCTTGGATTGTCAGGCTTTTTGTCTCATGGGTCACTGAAAGATCAGGAATCCGCTGCTTCATGGATGGGTGCAGTCTCCAGAGACTAGAAGAATAGGGCGCCATGGAGTCAGTCCCAAGTCAGGCGGAACTCATGCCTGAATGGTGGCTGCTCCCTCCATTATACGCTATTACAGAAGGGGAGAGAGAAACCCTCACCATCAACAACCTGTGCCAAGATGAGGCGTATGCCCTGGGGAAGCGGCCCTCTGGGCCCATTACCTCCCCCTTCCTCTAATCTTCTTCCTGGCACTCATTCTGGAAAAAGACAAAAAGGAAAAGAAAAAAACTCCCACCTTAGAAATATCCTCATGTGCATATATAGCCTCCTGGGACAGGCAGACTGTCTTTGCTACCAAAGACACGTGGGGTTGCAGCAGACAGGAGAAGCTGCTTACACCCTATTAAGGCTCAGGTGAAGCCCCTCAGGTCAGTGCCAACCTGAGCCTCAGCTTCCTTTCCTATAGAATGGGGAATTGGGGGATTTGTTTGGTCAGTAAAAGGGTTTTATTTTTCTTTCTTTCATTTCAGGGCAGGGAGGGGCTTGAGTTGAGATGACCAAAACTGAGAAAAGTAAGAAAAGAAGATCACTGAAGCATTTCAACAAATGCATAGAAGAGAACAGAATGAAGATCAGTCAGTAGCAGACAGACGACCAAGACAGCTTTGAAACTAATGGGTTGAATACTAG